CCCATTGATCAAGTTGGCACGTAGGCTGAGTCTCTCCAAACTTGGAAACCCACTAACAAGTGAAGGTAGAGTTCCTGATAGTTGATTACCTTCGGTGACTAGAATACCGAGTTTGGTTGCGTTTGAAAATGATTTGATAGACCCACTAAACTTATTATTATTGAGATTTATGACCTCGAGATTTTTTAGATTTAGAAAAACACTTTCGATTGAGCCTTCGAAATTGTTGTCTTCCAAATGTAAAGAAGTGAGCCGCTCAAGGTTTGAAAGTGAAGATGGGACCTTTCCAATGAAGTTGTTAGTGGAGAGGTCCAATGAAATGATTTGGGTAAGGTTGCCAAGTGATGCTGGAATGTGTCCTGAGAATTTGCATCCATAGAGAAACAAAGAATGTAGGGATTTGAGATCGCCAATTGAATCAGGTAGTTCGCCAAAAAAATTTGTGTGCCCAACGTTCAAGAATTGAAGGGGGCTGCTCGAGTTAAATTTTGAAAAATCACTGGTCAAAGCCTCATTATCTTCTAATTGCAACTTCTTGAGATTTGGCAGATGAAATAACTTATCAGGAACTTCTCCCATCAATCTACAATTAAAAAGACTAAGGAATGTTAAAGATGTCAGATTCAATAAGGAAGTGGGTATTACCGAAGATATGTTTACTCCACCAAGATCAAGTTCTCTCAGTTTGGTCAAGTTTTGCACAAGTAATTTGAAACCAGTTTTCCCCAATCTCAACTGACTATTATTCAATGAGAAATCAAGTGAAACCAAATTAGATAGTTTCAAAATTTCTAACGGGATTTGACCAGAGAAGCTAGAGGAAGAGAGGTTCAAATATGTCAATTTGGAAAACCGATCAAACGAAGGTGGAAATGGAGACAAATCGAAGTTGTTGTAAGCAAGGTTGAGCCTTTGAATGTGAGGAAGGAGAAAGAGGGTGCTATTGGGATAGATTGTCCCATATAACCAGCTGCAGCTGAGGTCGAGGCCTATTACATTACCAGTCCACCGATCACACTCGACCCCGTCCCACGAGCAACAATCAGTCTCGTTCTTCCAAGATTTGAGTTTTGGAAAAGAAGGAATTGCACTATGCAATTCACAAGACGATGAAGCAGATGCATTGAAAGAAAAATGTTTTTTAAACTGAAGCAATGCAAAACTCTGGTCTTTGTGGCACAGTTGTGCATGGGTCAAAGGAGTTTGGAGGAAGAAGAGAATGAAGAAGAAGAGGTGAAAGAGTTTCTTGGGAAGGAGCCATATTGAAAAACCCATCTTAATTTCCTATTAAAATTATTAGGAGATTTTCATACAGATTGCCAATTAACTGAAACAAAGGCAAATGATATACATATAGAAAAATATAGGAAGACAATTTCCTGTCAACTACGGTGAAATTATAGTAGGTAGCACAAAAAGTTTTGGTTTGCTAAAAGTCTTCATGGAATAGTCGGGGAACGACCACACTATTACTTCCTTTACAATTCCATAAGAGTTAATTATAATTCAAATGGAGTCAAGTTATCACTCAAAAATAATAATTACAAGTTCATTGAAGTTAAGTTAAGATTCATCAAAATATTTTAAAATAGATGCCATTTTGTTGTATAGCCACAGTTGATTAAACCTTTAATCGTGATTTATAAAATTATAAGTTTTGTTATAGTAACATTTTATAAATCTTTGATGTCTTAGTTTTTTCATCCCCCACCAAGCCCAGAGGAATATGTGCGTGTTTGAGACGTTATGGAGGAATTGAAAACCATAAGATGATAGTGTCTGGGCCTTGATATGAATCCCGAGTTTAAAAATCACTGTTATCGGACTATTTTATTTAAACTCACCCTTCCAAACCCCTCAAATAAAATTTATAGTCATCGATCAAGAAAATAATTAATCCCTGTTATGGGTAAATTATGGCATCAAAAATTTATTTTTTAATATTATAGGGTGTTTTTCATTCCATTTTTAAAGTGACACGTTTTCTTTAGCAATCTAAGGAGGAAGAATCAAAAGTCACAGAGTATGGCCATGGAGAAAAATGAGGCCAAGCGTGTTTGACAAAGTCAAATTGTATGGCCATTAAGAAAAATGAGGCTAACGCGTGTTTAACAGGTTACCGAAGAATTCATTATTTTTGTGGATATTTTTATCACTGTAGAGGTAATTATTTTTATGGTAATTGCAATCTATCGTACCACAAAAATGGTAAAAATAATTACAACAAATACTTATAAAAATATCCATAAAATTAATAAATCATCCATAAAAATTATAAATTTTAGATTAGATCGATAGTAAGGTGAGAATCAATCTTAAAGTATTTGATCTGTAATAAAGTAGTACGCAGACAGATGACAAAGACGATCTGCCACGTCTCCTGCTACAAACAAATTACTAGCTAGCACATAAAGTCTTGGTCAGTAAAGACCAGCTATCCCTGCAATGAGGTCTCCCAGGGCCCAACTAAATTTTCCGTGTTATGAAGGAATTGGCCGTACAGAATGTGATATCTACCAAATTGCACCGTCTTTCGAAGACTTTCAAGTTTATTTATAAGATTGTGGTACTAAAATTTATAAAAAAAAATTGGTGCCGTATCATCAATTATCACTTTTATAATTATTTTTATTACTTTTGTGTGATTTTATCACTTTTATTGTAACTTTTTTTTTAATAAAATAATTCATAAAGTGATAAAATTTACAAATTGACCAAACTAAATTAAGCATTTCTTTTGCGTTTCCTATTCTTTACTTCCTCATACTTCTGCACTGCACCAGACTCAATAAGATAGTCTAAATTTTTTAGATTTGACTTCATGATAATCTTTAGTGAGCACTTGGTGCACTTGAAATAGAATCTAAATATCTTGATTTCTAAGTATGTCTGGTCAATTACTTTTTCTTTACACGAATTAAACTTGGTCATTTGTAGATATTGGTTGATTCACACGTGCGCGTGTTGCACGTGTACCATTTTTATAGAATTGATTTCACGTGAGTCTTCATTACATATAATTCTTATTTTTTTTCTTCATAGACTTTTAATTTTTTCAAATATTCTCCAACTATTTTCCAAAATCAATAACAAAACTCACTCTACACTTTCATAGATGTGTTGCACTTTGCAAAGCAGATCTGTATTTTAATGGCTAATTTCCGGTGTTTGTCAAATACACAAGATTCAAAAAAAAAATTATAAGATTGTCAAAACAATAGCACAATTCTAAATTATACACATGATAAAACGGAATATTTTGACTTCTTTTTCAAGGGTGTATAGTTAGTAAATTTTGGCTTCCTATTTGGAACAATTTTGTCCTTGTCTCCACTAGATTTGTTGGTTTTAAAACTCTCCCAACAATTTATTTTCATGGTTGTTTAGATATTTATTAACATTCTAAGGTAAAATTTCAAGATATAAGAGCCTATGGTTGGCTCTATTATATGAATCAAAGATAAAATTGAAAATAAAATTTGCAAAATTAACTTATATTTGAATCATTTCGAATTGTAATTTGAGTTTTAATTGCTTTTATTTTGTACCATGTGTGAATTCCATACTAGTTATCCTTAAGCAAAGACGACCTTATATACTTTAGCATTTACATATTCCCTTATAAGCCTATTCAATCGTTTTCTCCTATATAGAGAGTATTAGCAAAAATCCATACATGTCTTACATTAATAATGTTCATGAATTCTATATCTAAAACATCATTTTATATTATCTTTCATATAAAGCATTGTCTCTACCATGTGCTGAACTACAAAATTTAGAAAGTAAAATTAAAAAGATGAAGTTAAAGGTATTCAAAGTGGTGCCCTTCGGAAACTAACGTAAAAGAATAAGAGTAATCTTATTTATTCCTAAAAATATGACCTAATTTACTGATCTAAAGATGTGACTTTAGTGAAACCATTGAATAATACCAAATTCTGACTATCGAATTTATATAAAAAAAATTAATTTTCACAAAATGAATTGGAGGAACTGACATGAACGGAAGCAAGTACCAATTTGGTGTTAGCTCAACAAAATCAATCTGGCAAAGACCTGGAGAAAGTAGCCTACCTTATCTTATAGCCACTATCTTGCTTATTCATTGCCCTCACTGAAGGTCACTCAATGTAAAAATTCTTTTTAATCAGTACCGATTGCCAAAATCTTGCTTGGGAAGAACAATATGGTCCAAGTACCCTTTCGATCCACCATGTCTACCTCCTCTCCATACATGGCCGCCTCGATCAAAACCTCTTCCACCATCATCTACACAAATGTTGAAAGCATAACCAGCCAGGTATAAAGTCAAATATCAATAATTTGTGTGTTCTATCCTCCATTTCCATGCAGTTGTGGGTTATTAATAATAAGGAGAGTATTTGTGATCTCATTTGCTATATCCAACTTCAATCAACATTTGATTATGAATTTGGAAGAACACCGTAACATAAGAACTACTACATTCCTGGCGCCAAAACACATCCCAACATAAGTGGGTAGCTTATAACTATTTTCAAACCTTGTCTCTGTATAAACAACAACATATAGGAAAGAAATGTTGAGCAGATTCTTCCATCACAAAATAAGTCATGTCATATCCTAGATTAACAAACTAAAATGCATCAAAGATCAAAGAAGTCTAAAATCTTCATAAGCAATTAATATATAAAAACCAGAAGTGAGGGCTATCTACTTTCCCGCAGCATGCTTCAAGTCGCATAGAAGAACCCATCTGGTCGGCCAAAAACATTTAAGACGCATGAACTTTTGCGAGAACTTGCTCTTTTAATTTCAGAAATAGAAAATTATAAATCATTAAAGATCATTGTCGAATATGAACTTTCATTCTCACTTATCTGAAAGTTTACCAGGGAGAGACATTGATGTAAAATGATTATTCTTTGAAGCCATTGTAGTAATGTAAAGGCTTTTGGCTGGTTGACTTTGTCTCTACCAGAACAAAAATATCATCACATTTCATAGTGAAAATTATACCTTGATAACATTTGTTTTATACCATATGCCCTTTCGAACGGTGTCTGCTAATGGTCATAATGCCATTCTCAAATTTTGATAAAATGTGGGAGGATGATACCAGATTTTTTTGGCAATGTCCAATGCAAAAAGATGAATTGATCTACAAGGTTCCTCAATCAAACCAATTGAACCATAGTGGAAGATCCTACCTAGCATTGAATGCAATAAAACCAGCAACCTCATTAGTGGATAAAAATCTAGTGCTGCATTCCTTGTCTGAAAAAAGGGACAAGGAAAGCTTACCTTCTTAATGATCTTTACTTCAAGCTCTGATTCGCAAGGAAGCATTTTAGCCCTGATTACGAAAAAGCATGAACTCAGGCTCCCCATCAGCTCTAAAGTGTTTTTAATGCCAGTGCAGTCCTAGCACTGGGGTCAAACAGAATGCCAGAGTTGCCAACATTGTTTTGTTTGAATGCACAGACAATCTGATATTGGACAAAAATTAACAATTCACAAATGTTGTACAGCATACCCAGCAATGGTTGAATGCAACCCAGCAAGTTTAACTCAAATGTGATCGGCAAAAAGGACATAACCATATTATAGTCAATCATAGATATAAAGGATTAGACTAAAAAAAAGGGCCAAAACAAAAGTCTGTGAAAGAGTTAATTGAGGACAACACGGTAAATGCTAAACTTGGGACAGCCATACTCAATACAATGTGTATTGTTATTATTATTTAGGCATCAAGCATTTATAGAAATTTAAGTTTATACATTTCAAATAAAGATTCTGTAACTGTGAAATAAATTTGTAAGCTGAATAACAATCCCCAGTATGGTTGTATAAACTCAAAAAACACTATGTGATGAGTAAAGTGCAAAACAAAACAATAATATCAAGCTAATAATTACTCCGACCAGAAATCAATATAACAAATGCTTATAACTAGTTAGAGACTACCTAAAATCAAATGTTAAACTAATAACCGAGAAAAAAAACGTCAAAGTTGAACAAAACTAATGAGATTCTATCTACTTTAGATTGATACAATATGCACCAAGTTAATACTTACTTCTCCAAAAATTGGATATTGACGTACACACAAAGATGCTAATTAAGAAAGGATAGGATGAATATTAGGTGAACATGACATTTTTTAACAACTTTGAGCCAATGTAAATTAACAAAGTCAATGCATTTCCCATTGAATGCACAATGAATATAGCAATTGGGTGCCTCAAAAAAATCAAAAGAGAGATCAGAACTATTTTTTAAAAAAAACCCAAATATTCCAAGATCTTTCTATTGACACGACATCCTTCCATATAGCACTGGATGCATTTGTGTGGCCCTGAATGCTTTCATATTTGAAGTATTTCGACACAGGCCTTTTGATTCTTGTTCTAATCCCTAAAACTTAACCTACCCAGAGCACAGACACTTAGAAAATAGAGCTTCTATTTCATAGCATATTTTTCTTTCCTTGACCCATGCTAGTGGGCCAATATATAGTTGGGTAATTGGGTTCATGATCAAGAAAGTATTAATTTAACGAATGTCAGATAGTAGAACCATACTTTGAAGATGGAATTCTGGAGTATTTTTGGAAATAAATTTGTAGCCAAAATCCTCAGAGAGCCTGCAAGTGCAACAATAACGAAAAATTAAAAAAACCATTGGCCCCCAGGGAAACAGAGGAAACAGGTGATTCAGAAATGTTAAATTATTTTTTTGCAGGGTTTTCATGTATTTTTTTTGTCAATCAAATAAACAGCGTCTAGAAAAAAGTGAAAATTGAGAGTGAGTCCTCTTAAATGTACTTATTTGGAGATAAGTCCTGTAAGGAAACTTATAAAGGGCTAAATTCATATTTAAAATTATATGTAATGACTTAAGTCCACTTTTTTTTTTATCTCAAAAATATCATTCCTTGAAGGGAAGTTAATCTTTTCTCAGTCATATTTATCTATATCTATATATAAGTTAAGAGTTTAACTAACCTTAAAATTTTCCTTCTCTCTTATCTATATATATAAAAGAAATAGTAACATTCAAATACAAAAAAAAAGTTACTATGAATTTGAATAGTAAAATTCAAATTCATGTTATTATTTTTTTATTATGTTACTGTTCATGTTATTGTTTTTGTTGAGTATGTTACTGTTCATGTACTATTATTTTTGAACATGTTACTATTTTTGTTGACCATATTACTACTATTATTTTCCTAAATATCAATATTCAATGTTTCTATTTTTTTTTTTTTGAAAATTACTATTTTTTTATATTTGAATGATACTATTTTTTGCATCTGAATCTGAGAGAAATAATTATTGTTAAGTATGTTACAGTTTTTGTTAAGTGTCTTATTATTTTTGTTGAACATGTTAATATTTTTATTGAACATGTTACTGTTGTTATTTTTTAAAAATATTAATATTAAATGTTTCAATTTTTTTTATGTTTAAATGTTACTATTTTTTTGTATTTAAGTGTATTATTTTTTGTGTCTAAATGATAACTTTTTTTTGTATTTAAATGTTACTATTTTTTATTTTTAATGTTACTATATATATAATTTATATATAGATAGATAAGAGAGAGAGAAAATTTTAGTGTTAGTCAAACTCTTAACCTATATATGAATATAAATATATATAAGAGAAAAAAGATTTTAATGTTAGTCAAACTTCTAAGATTTAAGAGTTTTTAATTTTTAGTTTTATTTCACTTCTAAAGGGAAGGAATAGTATGAAAAAATTAACAAAAAAACGGACTTCATAACAAATAAATTTCCTTAACAGATTTAAGTCCAAACAAATTCATATAAGAGAACCGGACTCTAAATTTTCTTACAAAAAACTAAAAAGAGAGAAAACAAAAAATTTCAACACCCTCGATCCTCTGACCACAAATGGCTACGGCTAGATTTGGTCCGTTTGATTATTGTGCTCTACGCTTCTCTCCCTTCTGCAATAATATGGTTTGAATGAAAGTGACGTGAAATTAAAAATTGAGCGAAAAAAGGCAATGATAGTATTGGCATTTTCACGAACAATACATGTCCAAACAGAGCACATTAAGGGAGAATCATCAGCTTCTACCTTTGAGAAAGTCGTCGATGTCAGCGCCATTCTTAGACTATCGGTTCTGAGGAGCGTCCTGTCTAAAGAAGAGGGAGACCACATGGAAATGACTTGTCGTTCCAGAGAAACTGGCTCCGGAATGAAAGTTTTCCGTGGGATGTGAGGTAGTGGAAAAGGTGACGGAAGTTATAGAGTTTTTGTGGAACCGAATTCGGAAATTGGAAATCGGAAATCTTGTGTGAAAACCTGCAAACCTCACTCTATGACCATCACCACTGCTCCTCCTCTCTCTCTCTCTCTCTCTCTCCTTGAAAACCTGCAACTCCTCACTTCTCTCCCTCTCACAGATCCCCCAGGACCCCTTCCCCCTCGCTGCAACACGCCACCACACTCAGCCAACTGCCACCGCCACCACCACCACTCCCGACCTCCTTGTCTCTCTCTCAGGCCCCTGCCCACTCCCCACAACAAACCCCAGATCTAAAGATTTCTCCCTCTAGATCTATAAAACCCACATGAAATGGGTGAGTCATCATACTCTCCAATCGATTTCATTAAATCGAAGCACAAATTTCCACTGCTATTAGCGGTGTTGCTGTACAGTTGGGTTTTTGGGATTTACCTCTCGGATCGAATTTGCGGCTGACTTTTGTGGTTAATTTTTTGGAATTTTTTTGTGGTTCAAATTTAGTGGTGGGTTTTAGATGATTGAGGTTGAGTGTTGATGGTTGGTTTTGTGTAGGGCCTGCCATACGGGTAAAAAATATAATTTTTTATTTTTTTATCTAATATTTTGTAAAAAAATTTTTTTTATCCTATTTTATCCGATTAAGTGTGATATTCTTACCCGACTTCTAACCAAATTAATCGGGTAAAAAGTAAGGTAGGAAATCGGGTGAACACTTTTATAGTTATTAATTTTTAGATCATTTTAACAATTCAATTAAATAACATGTACTAATTTAATAACACTAAAACCTAAAATAATTATAATAAAACACAAGAAAACATAAACATCAATCTATCATAATTGTTGCATAAATACAATAACAATTATATATATATAAATTAATGCCGATAGAGCAAGGTAGGAGTACAAAAATTAATGAAAATTCTGCATTCTTACCCGATTTAATCGGAAGACCAAAAATTTTTCCGTATTCCTATCCGATTTTTTCGGCTAACCGTTTAATAGGGTCGGGTAAGATAAAAAATTAAGACAAATTAAAATTTTGAACACCCCTAATTTTGTGTGGTGGAACTGTTGGGTTTTGGACGGTGGCATTGCTGGCGTCGACAGTGGCTTTTTGGATGGTGGAGGCGATGGTGTCATTCACAATCGCCATATCCTTTCTCTCTCTATCTCTAGAAGGTGGTGGTTGAGGAGTTTGGTGGGTGGTAACAGTTCTGGAAGCTCGTGGTGGTCATGGTGGTGATGAGTGTCTCTGTAGTGGTGGTGATTATTGGTGCATGTTACTGAATTGGCGGCGATGCAGTGGTGGTGATGTCGTGGAGGAGAAGGGTCATGTACGGAGACAGTTGATGATGGTTTTAGTCTAGGTAGTGGTTTTCAGTGGTGCAAGGGGAGGTGGTTTCAATGGGGTTATGGTCTCTCTCTCTCTGTGCTGGTGGTGTTTGGATGTATTGGGTGGCAGATGCACTATTGTGGTAGCTAGGTTTAGTCAGTTGTGGAACTGGTGGTGATGGGTGGCAAGAGTAAAAATTTATGTCATTAGATAAATAATAAACAAGAATTAATTTAATATGAGATAATTGGATTGGATTAGGTAATTATTAAGGTTTTAAAAAATGATTACTTTTAAATTGTACTAATAGTATCAAATATTATTTAATAAACAAAAAATTTAATATTTTATTTATTAAAGTATTATATTTAGAAATTAAACATTTAAGTGTTAAATTTTAATCTATATATTTCATATATAGATTAAAAAAATAAATGAGTGGTAATTTGGAGGGTATTTTTGGTATTTTGAGAATTATAATTGATGACCTTGGCTTTGATTATTAACAAGTCTAACGTCTTTTAGTTGAAGGGGTGTGACTATTACAAGTTTTAAATGTCAAGGGAGTTTGGTGTTATTTTTAAAATGTGAGGAGTGTCCGTGTAATAAAACCAAATGTCAGGGGTGTGAATGTAATTTATCATTATTTTTTATCCAGTAATGAATAAGAGAGAGGGAGAGTGTGCGCAATGTAAGGGCAATATGATTGTGAACAGTAAGTTTGGCTTAAAGGCATAACTAGGGTTTAATATGCAATTGATTTTGAAAGATAAGAATGTTATAATTGCATTGTTGAGAGATAAAGATGGAAAAAAATAATTTTTAAATATATTGATATTTTACAGTAGTATTGATAATTACCACAAGTATTGCATCGAATATTCATGGGAAGCATCATCTAAACCTTAATCATTCTGTATTTAAGTTGTCTTCGTCTCGATATTTTTGTTAGATCGAAGTCTACCAGATAATACTTGTTCAACACCTTCCTCTCTCCGATTTTATGTCTTATTAACAATAAACAATCAAATTAACGATTTCAAGCAAACAAAAAAGATTCACCAAAAAAATATGAAAATTGAATTTGGAGTTGGAAATCTGGTTCAGTTTGCAGGGTTTACTTTAAAAGAAGAAGACAACAAAGGCTTACGGCAAAAAAACGAAACAATGAGACGTTAAGACTTAACGTCAAAACAAATCCAAGCTTCGGCCAATTGTTAAACCTACTTGAGGACTACAAAACAAAAACCTATGCTACTTCATATATAATAAACCTACTGCTTATGCTAGTTCTTATAATGAATTTGTGTCATGTTAGGTTTTTTTTGTGCGTTTATTCATTTACTAGTAGATGCACACGTGCGTTGCATGTGGACTGTAGTTGATCGAAATTATTATTGACAATAATTACTTATGGATGGCTGCACCAAAAATCTGTATGTTAAAGGTTTTCGATGTATAATAAGAACTATGATTTTGTTATGGAATATATTGAAATTATCCTCTATTGAAGATGACTACCGTTTTTCTCATGTAGTTTGTTCATGAAAAGTTCTGTGACACTAATCAGTGGCAATTTTTGTTTAATGGCAAGACAAAAAATAAAATAGGTGAGATTAAGACTCTGAGTTTTATTGATGTTTTAATGCAAACACAAATTGACACTGTTAAGCATAAGCAAATCTCTAATGATGGGCTGGAAAAAAATTCAGTTGTTAAACTAAAAACAATGTCCCCAACTGTAGTACTTGAGTTGATGGAAGTTTTCATCTAGAATATACAATCTGAAACTCTGCCTTTGGTTTACAATCCTCTATGATCCAAAGGGTCAACAATATAAATTTGGAATGATAAAAAAACAAAGAGACGTGGACTGGCGGAGTTTAGAAACTGCATTATGAGCATCAATTATAGTTTTTTGCTACTTTTCATTGACATGGCCAATGATAAATAAAAGCAAAAGATAAATAAAATAGCAAAGTAACAAAATTCACTTAAAGTAATGTATGACCGTAGTATTACATCCATATGTAGGAACAAAAACAGAAACCTCCTTAATGGAAATTATTCTAATAGACAAATGCAAAGGAGCCTCAATGGGTTTGGTAGTACAATGAATATTGAAAAAAGAGACACTTTGGGATAAAGATATTGAAATAGAGTGAAAGTAAGAGATAGCTAGGATTAGAGGAGGGTTTTGAGTGAAATTTGCTAGAAAAGTCAATATACAAAAATAGAACCAAAATCAATGAGTTGATTAGAAGTCCATTCTCTAAGCGGGAGGGATTTGTTACCAACCTAAACAATTTCAGCAACTCTTCTAAGAATGCCATTGTCCCTAGTAACACAGAGAAGCTGCTTGTGCTTTTGTGCTTGCAGGAATCTTGTCATTTGAAGAATTTTCAAATAGCACCTCTATAGTTTTGCAGTTAGAAATAGAAAAAAAAGCTTGACTCCATCAAGTTCTAACCTATATCAAAAGAACTTTAAGTCAATTATGCAAACCAATTATATTAGTCCAAAAAATAAGCACTAAAATTCTACATCAAAATACCACAACATCAAACATTAACTTCTTCATGGTAACCTTTAATTAAATTTTATCTCGCCTTGCTTTCAATAAGTCGCAAGGTCTACCACTGGGCCGTTGATAACAAGTATAATAAACCTATTACCTGATTATTTGAATTTTGCCTAGATATTTGTTGACTATAGAAGAATGGTTGGTAACATGACATTTAAAGGGTTCACAATCATGGAGTGAACTGGGACAAAAACAGTTCAAGAAGAGCTCGTTCTTCGGGCAGTGCAGCTGGAATGGAGGCATTCCCTGCCAACATATATACTTCCATTTGTCACAATAATGCATGCATCAACTCTAATAATTGGTTTCGATTATCGTACTTCTTATTTCAATTCAAAGGTAAATAATCTACTCAAGTTTAAAGAACACATAAGAAAACAAAAACAGAAATCGTACCCACTAAAAAAATAGCAAAATATTCACTGGTGACAAGGTAATTAAGTAGGACCAAGTAAAAATTTGCATGGTTAAACTGGTTAACAATTGAATTTCTCGAAGCTCATTAGCATTACACACCTAATCCAATATATATATATGTGTGTGTGTGTGTGTGTGTTGACTTAATCTAGCTATAGTGATCATTGAATTGACCATGAACCCAATTTAATATTGTGATCCATTGCTAATCCAATGAGATTAGAGAATTAAGTTACCATATTGGATCAAGATATTAAGTTCAGGTAGGACTTATCACAGAAGAGTTTGATAAAATCTTAGGAAAATATAGGATCATGTCTTTTTCTTGTGAAAATGTATATTGATATGAAGTCTCTAATTAATGGTCATTCCCAAACCAGGCGACTGACGGCCTTTGGTAAACTTGATCAGTCTTTTTTCATGGCAAATAGTTGAAACTTGCACTTATATGTGAATAGAAAAATAAGCAACAAGCAAAAAAAAAAAAGGATAGAAAAATAAGCAAAGCAAAAACCTGTGGAATATCCTGTCCAAGGTGAAAGGTTGATGTCTAGAACTTATCCAAATTCAGGTTG